AATTTCTTTATATTTATTCTTAGTGTCCGCCATCGGTGCCACTGGTTTGAGTTTCGCGCAAAATCAGATGAAATGGCGCAGGTTCACCAGGAACCCTTTCAGCTCAGACTCCAGCAGGGGCCCTCCAGCAGAGACCAGTACCAGGACTGAGCGGGGAAGACTATCAGACCCCTGCTGCGCTGAAATGAGGTTTTCTAAAGGGAATCTGGTGCTCGGAAACACCACATTCGGCCGCAAAAAAAAAAAAATCAAGAGTTCCTTGTTGTAGCTTTAAAAATTGTATTGAGACCACAGAATGTGACAGATGAAACGGTCACAGCAGAAGGAAGGTGAGAAAGGTTTTACTTTGCTGCACTCTCGGCGTAGCAAAGTAAAACACTGATGTTAACTCAGCAAGGCATCTTAATTGCATTCACTAGCAGATCCAGGGCTGCTTGGTCCCCAGATGACGGCTGATGTGAGCTGACTGGAAGATGAACTTCCTGGGCAGAGAGGAGGCCGTGGACGACAACACGCTTCACCTCTCTCATAGTGTGTGTGTGTGTGTGTGTGTGTGTGGTCCCCGTGTGCATTTAAGCATGAGATCGTCTGTGCGCATATGTGTGTCCCTACCGATGTGTGTGTGTGTGTGTGTGTGTGTGTGTGTGTGTGTGAGACACAGAAGGCAACGGGACCGGTAAAGGTTAGTGAGGTGGAAGGGAGCATTAAAAGGATGTTTGACATGAGAAAGGAGAGGAGCTATAATGCTCAGTAAGACAGCAGGTGGCCCGGCAGATCTGTCTGTGACCCCAAACTTCAAATCTCAACTACAGTTTCCAAACCATGCAGATACTTGTGCTTCATCTGCTCCTGATTTTTAGGCATTTACCAACAAAAAAACCCACATATTTCCATCAGTGTCACAGTGTGCTGCAGGACTACATAACGCAGCAGCCGACAGTCATCTTAGCTCATGCTACAACATGAAAAACATCATTTGAGCAGCTGGTAAAGGTAACAGTGGTAACCTCTGAGTCGGGCTCGGGACACGCGGAGATGATAACTGTCCCTGCTGAGCTCGGCACTCGCTCTCTCGGCTGATATTCATCAGGACAGCCATCGATTTGAATGACTTGGTCAATAGACACACAGCAACTCTGCTCTCAGCATCTCCCCCCCCCCCCTTCTCTCTTTGATTCTATCTCCTCTTCTTTCTCTCTTTTTATTGTTCTCTTTTACGACGTCACTCGTCCTGCATCCACACATTTTACCGACAATTGTGACTGCTGTGGCTCCAGCTACGGATGTGAATAGATGGTTCAAGTGCTCGTTGAGATCCTCTTACTGAGAAGACAAAACTATTTTTTTTTAAATGACGGAGGAGTGGGGGATGTGAAGGAAATTAAACCGACAAAAGCGTTTGATTTATACACTATGACAGGCAGGTATTATGAAACGGCCTGCTGCGGATGTGACCAGGTAGGCAGATCACAGCCCCGGTGACTGGCATCTCTCAGTAGGTGACGAGGTTAAAGCTGCCTCCCAGCTGCTCCGCGTGAATCTTCACATAAATGACTGGCATACGTGTGGCATTTGCGCAGACATGCACAAACACGCACGTACTATGAACAGAAACGCAGACACGCAACACACACACACACACACACACACACACACACACACACACACACACA